GTTGGTGAAACTCGTCGGCTGGTTTTTGACAGAAAAATTGCGCCGGGCTGCTATTTTTCTGTTGGTAAAACTGGCCTCTGCGTGTGGTTTCGCCACCAGCCGCTATTCTTTGTAGACAAATAGACAGGCATAGAAGCTGTGTCTCTTGACGCATCGGATTATTTCGTTTAGTCTCTAAAAACATGATAAGTCACAACTCACAAGTCATGTCTCGGAAGGTCGTATGTAAAGGAAGCTGCCGAAGCTGGTAACGACCGTAACCTCAATGCTCCGGGGTTTTAATTCAATGTGGCCAGCCATTTTGCCGCAGAACGCTGCGGCTTAACGCTGGTTATTTTAAGACATGAATTGCATATTCTTCGGTTCTAAATTATTATATCAACTTAGAAGCGTAAATCACGATAATTAGTAACAAATGAGGCCAATTGTTCCAACACGACATAAAAAAAAATAGACGGGGTCGCCTGTCTATTTTTTTGGGGCTGTTTTTTACATATAATGGCGCAGATAAACACTCTATTAATGTCGCATTTGCCGTTGGTGAAACTCGTCGGCTGGTTTTTGACAGAAAAATTGCGCCGGGCTGCTATTTTTCTGTTGGTAAAACTGGCCTCTGCGTGTGGTTTCGCCACCAGCCGCTATTCTTTGTAGACAAATAGACAGGCATAGAAGCTGTGTCTCTTGACGCATCGGATTATTTCGTTTAGTCTCTAAAAACATGATAAGTCACAACTCACAAGTCATGTCTCGGAAGGTCGTATGTAAAGGAAGCTGCCGAAGCTGGTAACGACCGTAACCTCAATGCTCCGGGGTTTTAATTCAATGTGGCCAGCCATTTTGCCGCAGAACGCTGCGGCTTAACGCTGGTTATTTTAAGACATGAAACTGTTTTATATTCTTCGGTTCGAGTGGCTGCGGCGCTCGCTGTTCGCTCCCGACAGGCATTGCTTACGTATAACCACTATCAGTGTTTGCGTTACCGGTCAAATGAACTATATGCGGACGGTCCATGCTCGACCACGTGATCACGTTAAGCTTTCGGCTCCGGTTTTGTAGGCTATCCAGACTCATCCTGCTCGAGGGTCACTAGCATCCATAAGGTAGTCACAGAGTGTATCAGACGAATATTATGCATGATGCATCACTGATGATCCTGTGCATTGTGTAACAAACTCTGTTACTCTGGACTACGAGTGAGCTCTGTCAGTTATGCAATTGCACAATGGCTATTTACTTGAAACGTTAACTCTTCCCACAGTCCGCATAATGTACAGAACAGTATATTTTCAGCAGTAGATGGAATGTTTTGCAACTATCAGATGATGCTAGCTAAATGGCATGTCTCTTTTTTTTTGTTTTTTTTTTTGTGCTTTCAAAACAGATTAGGGTGCGCCTCTCTGGGAGACGGAAGCGGCACCCTCAGCAGGAGCGGCATCCTCAGTAGGAGGAGCGGCACCGTCAGTAGGAGCGGCATCCTCAGTTGCGGGAGCGGCATCCTCAGTAGCGGGAGCGGCATCCTCCTCCTCCTCAGTAGTCGGAGCGGCATCCTCAGTAGCAGGAGCGGCGTCTTCGGTAGCGGGAGCGGCGTCTTCGGTAACGGGAGCGGCGTCTTCGGTAACGGGAGCGGCATCTTCGGTAGCCGGAGCGGCGTCTTCGGTAGCGGGAGCGGCATCTTCGGTAGCGGGAGCGGCATCCTCGGCGGCGTTCACCACGGCGGCCTCCTCTTCCACAGCGGCGACAGCCTGCTCGGCGGCACGGACGGCACCGGCCGCCTGCGGCTCGGCCGGCAGCGTCTTCAGCAGCCGCGTCACGTACTCGGGCACCGCCGGCACCTGGTCGCCGCTGGCGCGGAAGCCGTTCTCGTCCGCCTCCCAGTTGATGGTCACGTCGATGCCCTCGGGCGACGTGTACGAGTACGAGCCGCGCATCACGGCACCGACGCCGTCGCCGATCTGACGGTTCTCGCCGGCCGCGTCGACAACGATGCCGTCCCTCGTCTCGAAGCCGTACTGGAACTGGCCGTCGTCGGCCATCTCGAACTCGGAGCGCAGGATGTCGTCGCTGAAGATGCTGCTGTCGATGTTGGAGGACGAGCGAGCAGCGATCTCGACGGGCGGCTCACCAGAGCCTTCGATCGAGGCTAACTCCTGGGGGAAGGCGGCGGCGCAGGCCAGCAGGCAGACGGCTACGAACGTCTTCATGTTGGTCGGGGAGGTCGGTGTGTGTCTGGGAGCGGATCAGGTGGGGGACTGATGCCCTGTGGCCGGCGGCCGGTGACTTTATACCGGGTTCAGGTGTCGTGATTCCGATTCCATCCCCATTACAGCGGTCGATGTTGTCTCGACCGGATATTTTTTACATATCAAAATGTTTGTCATTTTAGCACTGCTCACTGTCCCAAGAACTCGGATGCCTATCTGAAGCATCCATATCTCCCGTTACAATAAGCTTGAATACTTTTAGATGTGGCAGCGCCTTTTGCCTCACTGCACCGCAACACCGTGTTTTATTTTGATGTGTTTTTACTTCAAGACATTGCTTAATTAGATACCAGCATTTAATGTCTTTTTGTAGAACCTAACTATCGAACCAAATGAGTCGCGGCATGCTAAATACCATGTCGTCCATGTTGATTCCGCTGTTTGGACACCTCCGGTACTTGCCATAAGTATTGGGTGATTAGCGATCCTGACCGAATGCCTGTCATCTCGCGGTGGACTTGGCCATGCCGGTCGGCTGCGTCTGGGACAAAGTTGGCATTGGTACCCTGCCGCCCGGCTCCTGAGTGTCCTGATTCATGAACGCGTCAGCGTGAGGCCCTGTCTGTCCTGTATTTATAGCTAAGATCGATAATATCAGGTTTCTAGCAGTTTTATTAGATTTATGCTTCTTACCATAATGCATGGGACCAACATCATTCACACTTTTGAATGTTTAAAACCACAAAAAGACTGTAAACTCGCGGAAAATATGTACCGACATACGCCGAATCATGATTCCGGCCGAACATGATCTCGAGAAATAGATCACAGTTCAAAGGTCATTGGGGTTAGGATCATTAGATTTTTAGGGTATGTGTAAAATTGATTAACTCGAGGGTACTGAAAGTTTCGTCGCGATCGGTCGCTGTTTGCGTGAGTTATCCGCGAAAAAACGAGGGTGGGGTCCGTTCGACCTTCACTATAAGTGCGAGAGTTAAGATCAAATTTCCAGTTTTGAATTTTATCTTGGACTAATATAGCTTCCAGTCAACGTAGAAATAAACATTTATTGTTCTAGATAAGGCCCTCTTCGAAGTATACTATGTCGTCAAATTTTGACACTAATGCGTAAACATGTCAAGCTACCCGGAACAGTTTTCTACGATAACGCTCGATAACCTTAGAATACACGCAACTTATCTGTTTGTTTAACCCCTTTGTATTTTTTTCCCATTGAAGTGTGTCGTATGACTAGTAAAGGTCAAATTAAATATTTTGTTTGAGATTGTGACCATGACCTAAACGGTAAAGACAATGCATAGTAATCGATTCGTATTGGTGAGATGAACTTACCCTCGCCCGTATTGGCGCTTTCCCAGCCGCGAACGTTTAAGGGGAGGGGAAGTTCGTTGGACCCCTCCCCTTTGCCGTTTCGCCCTGATCGAGCTAGAGCTTCCCGTAAAAAAACTAGCGTGCTGCCCGTGACGAGAGGAAGCCGATGCTACCCAATTTTAAGGTCCTAGGTCATTGGTTGACCTTCCAGGTCAGGTCAATGACCTAAAAGTCGGGAAAGTCGGGACCTGTTAGGACGTCGTAAAGTGTGGCTGCTGTGGGTTTTTTCAGGGTGCTATCACGACTGTCATGTTAGTTTTGGTCACAGATGATGCCCTCATGCATTTAAGCCAGGTCGGGTCAGGTCAGGTCAACCAGTAGGGGTCCTGCCGGGTATTCGTAGTAGGTGTCACTCCGCCTCTGACAGCTTCGTAACATGTTACGAAGGCACCAAAACTACTTCGTAAATGTTCAAATGGTTGCTAAATTCGAATTCAGCTAGACAAACTAGCCTAGTAACATGTTAATCTCGAGAAGTGAACCGAGGTCATCAAAGGTCAATGACTTGACCTAACCTTCAGGTGACCTAGGCACCCACCCTAATGCATGGGACCAACATCATATCACATGTTTGAACGCTTGAAACCACGAAAAGACTGCAAACGCGCGGCTAATGCGAGCCGACATACGCCGAATCGCGATTCCAGCCAAACATGGTCTCGAAAAGTAGGTCACAGGTCAAAGGTCATTTGGGTCAGGGTCATGAAATTTTCAGGGTGGGTGTAAAATTGATCAACGCTAGGGTATTGACAGTTTCGTTGCGATCGGCCGCTTTTTACGCGAGCTATTCGCGAAAAAACAGTGGGGTCCATTCGACCCCCACCCGATACGGGCGAGGGTTAAACACATACGCAGGCCTTAGGACGATATACTGACTGCCACACGCATCGATCAAACGTTATATGGCTAATAATAGGTGACCTCAAATGATGTTACAATGCCTATTGCAAGGATTACAATGAGCTCATAACATGGACCGGTGACCAGGCCCCAGATGACTAGGAGCTAAAATAGTGACACTTTTTTGAAGAAGGAAAAGTTATTCTGTGCACTGTTTTTTGTTTTTTATTTATTCATTTTTTGTTTTTGAGAGAACTTGAGAACTGGATGAGATGTCAGTTGTTGCGAATTCAGTCAACGAGTTCAGTCCAGTGTTCAGGCAGTTTGCGATTCTACTTGCCAAATACCTGATTTGTTTCGGTTTTAGAGTTAAGAACCATTGCTACCAACTACCAAGTGAGCAACTGGAAATGCGGGATCCGTGTTGGTCTTGATTGACAATGCTTGTCCGAATAAAACTGAAGCTCTGGCGATATTACCATTGATTGTTTACCAAGTCGACAGACTAAAGCTCGGTTTGGATGGGCGATATTCGGAATGTTTTCGGAATGCACACAAAGCGTTTCATGAGTTTGACATATATTCATTTTTCACACTCAAACAAACAAAAGTTAATTTTGGAAGAAGAAAAACAGCATCTAGGCCTCATCGGCCGACACAGCGGCTTCCACAAGCTCAGCAGCGGCCTGCGGCTCGGCCGGCAGCGTCTTCAGCAGCCGCGTCACGTACTCGGGCACCGCCGGCACCTGGTCGCCGCTGGCGCGGAAGCCGTTCTCGTCCGCCTCCCAGTTGATGGTCACGTCGATGCCCTCGGGCGACGTGTACGAGTACGAGCCGCGCATCACGGCACCGACGCCGTCGCCGATCTGACGGTTCTCGCCGGCCGCGTCGACAACGATGCCGTCCCTCGTCTCGAAGCCGTACTGGAACTGGCCGTCGTCGACCATCTCGAACTCGGAACGCAGGATGTCGTCGCTGAAGATGCTGCTGTCGATGTTGGAGGACGAGCGAGCAGCGATCTCGACGGGCGGCTCACCGGAACCTTCGATCGAGGCCAACTCCTGGGGGAAGGCAGCGGCGCAGGCCAGCAGGCAGACGGCTACGAACGTCTTCATGTTGATCGGGGAGGTCGGTGTGTGGCTGGGAGCGGATCAGGTGGGGGACTGATGCCGTGTGACCACCGGCCGGTGCCTTTATAGCGGTATGGCCACCCGCACCCTCCTCTCCCTGCCTGTGAAGGTCGAATAATGCAGACAGCCTTTTTATCATGATGTCACCGGTTGGTGTTGCTACTGAATCTGATTCACGATACATTAGCACAGTGTCATACCGGTGCAACGCGTCTGCATCTGATAACGTGCTGATAACCACATCTGACGCCCGTAGAAGGACGAGGATAGGTCACGCATACGTTCGGCACGTGATGCTCGTTTAGTCTTGTTTCATCGGATAATTGCTAGTAAATCGCCTTCCGGAGCCACAAACGAGTGAGCGAGGCTAGAGGTTCACTCGTGTTTACGCAACTCACCAGTAATAAAGAATACTGAACGAAACCGGTGTAAGTGAATTTTCAAGACCGAGGTCCTTACTGGTTTTTGAACGAGGCCGAAGGCCAAGTTTAAAAATCAGGTATGGTTCGTTTTTTTCAACATACCTGTTTTTTTCAAAAGGACTCTGGCTCGTCTGGCTCTAAGCATGTTTTTCGAAGTAGCACGTGTTTTAACGAGCAAAACGGGCAAAAACTGAACCTGAAGAAATCGAACGTCGACTGATTTTAACCTATGATTTCTTCCCACGGACGTATAAATAAATGTTAATTTATACGTCCGTGTTTCTTCCCGATAATTTCCTTACGTGCATTTTGGGACTGGTTATTAAAATAGTGATGACGTCATGCTGTCGAACTTGTATTGCAATGCAACGTATAAATGCCATGGCTGGAACCGCTCACTCTTATAGCCTCGGCCTCATTATAGCCTTATTATAGCCTCGGCAACAGTGAAAAAACAAAGTTTTCCCCAAATTCGTCGACACTTTGTCCCATCGTACGGACATTGGGTGCCTCCTGCCACCAGTGACGTAATCAAAGTATGTTAATTTTTCAAGACACAATTTCCGGGTACTTACCGTCAGACATGTGCATGGATCCGAATGATGGATCTATGATGTCAGTGGATCTCGGAGGAAACTGCAGGTTAGGATCTATGATCCCGCCGGATCCGACGTGAAAAATTTATCCTGGATCTATGATCTCATAGAATCTGACGATAAACCAAGAATGTGGATCTATGAGCTGAGTGGATCCCGCCATGCACATCATTTGGAGCCAGGTTTCCAAGTGTTACTAAGTCAATAAGTGCCACAAAACTATACATTATCATAGAGATCTTATATACATATATAAGATCTGTAATAAGATATAAGATAAGATGTATATAAGATCTCTATGTACATTATGACATGCAATCACATAAAATCACTAAAACAGAACTTTGTGAGTTGCAACTAGTGATTTTGGGGGATTTCTGTGTTGACAAAAAAATGAATGAGGATCTATGATCTCAATGGATCTCAAGCAAAAAATAAGATTGGATTCTATGATCCCTACGGATCTCTCGAAAAATTCAAGAGCTGGATTTATGATCCCGTCGGATCCGAGATCAGGATTCGTGGAATCAGATCCGAAATCCATTTTCTCGGATCCATGCACATGTCTGCTTACCGTGCACAATTTGAAATCGATTATTTTTTCGGTAAGAAATTCTTGGCCAGACGCTGAAGCTGCCAAAACTCACGCGAGAGCTTCGATAATGAACTTGGAGCCAGCGTCCTTAAAAAAAAAACGAACTATAGGACTGAGGTCTTGAAAAAATTATCGCCGGCCGAGTTTGGTTATGAGCGAGCGCGAAGCGAATCTTTTCAGTATAACGGAAAAAATATCAGTATGGGCGGCCCGACCCGGCGCGGCCCGACCCGGCCGGTAACGCTTTTGAGAGGCTTATAACTTAGAACCTCTGGACCGGTTAACCTGCGGTCTTCTTTGTAGGGTAGCCCCGTCCCTTCTACCCCGTAACCGACTAGTGTTGAAGCATTTAGGTGGTCGTCGTGGCATGTGCCACGTGAAAAGCCAAGGATGTTAAAGTTGTTCTGCTGAAGTGAGGATTTTGAGGGAGCTACATATATCTCGGCAACCGCTGGGGCGATTGACTTGCGGCTTTTTTAGGATAGTTGCATCCCTTCTTCCAAGCATCGGATACTATCGATACCTGTGGGTCACTTCCAATGCACGTGCAAATAAAAAAAGAAGGGGTGTCAAATTTGTTCCCACTACAATTACTCGGCAATTACTGGGGCGATTTCGCTGAAACCTGGGATGTCGGTAGGGACCCACCAGACAATGCATTCCCATGCGTTACGGTCAGTGTGCTACTGCACGTGCGCACGTGTAGGCGACCCTCGAGAACGGCTGGGCCGACTGCGCTCAAATTTGGCACACCGTTAGCAACTGGTTAGTAGAGTACCGTGCACACTGCACAAGCCAGTTGGAAATACCCTCTCGTGCAGGGCTCACACTCTTTCTCGCTCGTTAATAGCCCCCAAAAGGCGTCTTACTGGTATGTATTTTATTGTGTGCCAACAATAAATTTATTTTTCTTAGCCGACTTAGAAACGAGACCATCCCAAAATGTTTTTTTTCCATCCCAACATCCCAACATCCCAAAATGTTGGCTTTAGTGCAAACTGAGGCCTGATTCACTAACAAATAGGTAAACATTGCAATTACAAAGGGAAAACGTGAGTTAACAAGAAATCATACCAACATTTGATATTTCGATTTCACGAAACCTGCGAGCGTGAATTTTGAGTTAAAAATTTATGAACTTTTTACAATAAAAAGTTAATAAAACATTGAAATGGCAAACTTTCTGTTTCAGAAAGACCAGCAACTTGTTTATTAACCTGAACTTCCAGTGGTCCTGAAGTTCGGAATTTTGTTACTTTTTGTGCAATAATGCAAAACAATCATCAGGTACCTATTTAGAACAAATATGCTATGCTGAGTCGTTTTATGCCCTTTTTGACTCCGCACACTCCCTATGAATCGGCTATGAACAGTATTTAAATATCGTCATGTTGTTTCATTCGCGCGCCATAATTCATTCAACAATTTTCTGCTGTCAAATGTTTTACGTGCTAATGTCTTTCAATAATAAGTTATTGTGAGCTATCATTTATAGGTATTATTTTGCTACAGCATCATTATTTATAATTTCATCAAGCATTTTTTGACATGAAAACTAGACATAATCGAGATCGATTTCGTTTCTATGCGATATAAATAATTTATTGATGTTAATCAGTTTCGATGACATACAGGTCCACATGTCACACCAAACATCAATGGCACACACTCCACAAAAGACATCACAGTCGGTAGAACAACACCAACACTTGATTGGCGGTGATATGGCAGCGTTTGACACCGGTCCATGAGCGCGCCGAAGGGTTGGACTGGAATCCCTTCTGGCGTCGACCCCGTATTGACCACCCGCCTCAGGCTCCGAGTACAATGAACTCACTCGAGGGCACCTCCTTCTTGGCGATGTCTCCGGGCGAAGGGGCGCCGGCACCGGCGGGGCCGGCGTCCTCTCGAAGAGCAGACGCGATGGCGTCCTGGATGGACTCGGGGTTACCGTCCGGGTTGCGGCTCGGAGTGCGGACGGGGACGCTGACGGGGGTGCTGACCGGGGTGCTAACAGGGGTGCTGACGAGGGTGCTGACAGGGGCTCGCGCTGGGGCGCTGTCTGCCGCCGCCGAGACCGACGATATGACGATCTGACCACTGATGGGTCCGTCGTCAGAATTAGTGAGCTCCACGATGTCATCTGGGATGAATGCCCCAGCTTGAGATTGCGCAGTATCAGACTGCGAAGAAGTTTGGAGGGACACTTGCGCGACGGAGACCGCGTTGGGAGTTTCGATGATCGGCTCAGCGGGAGCAGCATCTGCAGCAAGGCCGGATGCGAATGGTTGTTCTTCACGGACATCTTCGATGAAGTTTGCAGGTGATTCGTCTTCGAGGTTGACTGACGTTAGTGGTTGGCTGATGGAGTCTTGAACAGGGCTGTCAATGGCGACAGGTGTGAAAATGTTGTCAATAGGATCCGAGGCGGGGATATCGCCAAGGGGCTCTGGTGCAATGGGCTCACCATTTAGGTTTCCGAGAGAACTATCATCGACTGTGACGGATGTGAGGATGTCATCGATCGGATCCGAGGCGGGAACATCATCAAGAAGAGCTGGTGCGAAGCCCGCATCGATGGGGCCTTCGAAGGAACTCTCCTGGACTGTAACTAGCGTGAAGCTGTCTTCTGCAGAGTGAGATATCGAAACATCGATAGGTCCTGAAGTGAAAGATGAATCGATGGAGTCCTGGACAGGAAGCTGAGATCGGGGACCATCGAAGGAGGCTTCAACAGGACTATCTTCAACCTCGATGACCTGGAGGACAGGCTTTATAACTTGAACGGCATCTCCAGCCGGAATGTTGGCGACGAACGGCTCGGCTGAGATGCCTGTTGAGATGTCGGCTGTCCCTGGCCCGACTTCCGCGATGGGGCCTGCGGGATCAACAAGGCCGAGGTTGCTGTCGGTAGGGATGACCTGGCTGGTGACCGGCGTCCCGTTCGGCAGCGTCTTCAGCAGCTGTTTCACGTACTCCGGCATCTCGGGCACCTGGTCGCCGACGGCGTGGAAGCCCGTCTCGTCCGCCAACCACTCGATGGTCACGTCGACACCCTCGGGCGACGTGTACGAGTACGAGCCGCGCATCACCATGCCTTCGGCGTCGCCGATCTGACGGTTCTCACCGGCCGCCTCGACGACGATGCCGTTGCTCGTTTCGAAGTCGTACCTGAACCTGCCGCCGTCGCCCATCTCGAAGCTCTGTCGCAGAATTTCCGCATCGCGGTCGGACGTTCGCTGCTGCGGAAATGCGGCTGCTCCGGCGAGCAGGCAGGCGGCCACCAGGGGGTTCATGGTGGCACGAGTCTGTGTGTGGCCGTAAGAAGACCAGGTGAGATACTGGTCGGATTCTGACGACGGAGGCCTTTATACCTGGTCACGGCCGCCCCCGCCGGCTCTGCAGATCGAGGACATCCCACCGCGACACCGCCACTCGGCGCATTAGGGCTGCGACACAGGTGTTACCCGCACCAATTTACCCGGATTAGAGGCTCGTGTCGACTCCGATCGTGAGCTGTTTTGTGTTTTCATTTACTATCCGGAGGCCAAAAGTTAAGAATCTAAAATAACGCAGTAATCCGTTCGGGAAAAGAGTGAGACAGGATCATCCGAACATTTTTTCCTTCACGCGCATGTTGCACTCATTCCAAAAATATCGCTATTAGTGTAGTTGGAGACGCAGAACTTCAATTTCATTCAGTTTTAATTGCGTTCTTTGTGACGATTGAATGGGAAACTCAAGTTCATGGTTGGTAAATGGAATGAGACATTTCTTCCGTGATGATATGAATAGGAAGTCTTTGAAAGCAAGTGGGAGATTCTCACTTCATAGGCTGTAAAACTGGTCACTAAAACAGCCCTGATTGTTTCCCTGCTGCTTTTTTGGTGCCTGGTTATCATTACGATGACATTTTGTCCAGAGCTCTTGCATACCTATAATAGTTACGTTCCTATGAAAACGTTTGAAATATAATGCAAAATAATTGCTTCCTTCCTGGTCAGATGCCATTTTAATTCGTAATCAAGAATAGGCGGGGTTATTTTACCCAGTACCTCAATTCCAAACGTTACTCACACCACTTATGCTTTTCATACAAATCCCTTGTAGGGTGCCATACAAAGGACACATCAACACCGCTATGTGTATCGTATGCTGCTCTTTGTCCAACGCCGCTGTCAGGCTCAGCGTGTTGTGATCAAGGTTAAGATGGCATTTACCGTCATGGGTCTGTTAGGCCGAGACAGCAGCCATGTTCTACGGGCTTATCGTCCTCAGCTTCAGCCGTTGGAACTTGTGACGAGCCAATACTGAACGTGTGACAAAATATAGACACCTCCCGACGGTATACAACTTGTCATAACCTTCGGACGCTCTAGAACGGCCGGGATTTCAATCCAGATCCGGATGTCTCCGAGCAGATTAGAGCCTACTGTGAGATAAGCTGCCGGGACGAAATACGACAGGCGTGTCAGAGCGCAGTGTCACAACGGCATAGCCTCGGCTCCACTGCTGGGACTCAGTTTGAATGCAGATTTCTACACAGGTAGCGTGTACCTATCGGGCTAAAGTTAAGCTGTTTGGCCTCTGAGCCCGCAACTGCTGTTTCCGGCTGATTTGATATTCGCAATCCCCTTCAGGTGTTTTATGCTGATGTTCAGTCATGATTCATGACTGGCGGTTTGTCTTTTTGCTACCCAGCTGTTTTTTTTTCAAGCAGGGGTTAAGATTTTGTTGCATTGCAAGCATAGGGCTGTGCCTGTCCTTGGCATATATATCTTATATAAGATGTCTTCAGTCCCTGACTCCTCGGTTTACAAGGCGGAAAAGGTCAGAACATTCGCTTGCTAGGGGGATGCGGTGAAATGATTGTTAAGAAATAAATTAGTATCTGAGGATGCTTTGTTTGGGCCTTAAATTCTCACTTTCGGCAAATAAAAGTATGGTTCTCTGTCAGGAACTCTGTTGATCACCGACTATAAATTTAACTGAGAAACATTTGACGGATACTCTAGCAATCGGCCTAGCGGTTGCTGAGATATAAAGAAGCCTCATAAAAGCGTTACAGGTCGGGTTGGGCCGGGTCGGGCCGCTCATACTGAGGTTTTTCCGTTACATTGAAAGACTTCGCTTCGCTTCACTCGCTCGCTCGTAACCAGCGTGGGACCTCCTCGTTCCTAATTTAGTGTCCCGCGCACGTGCTGGCATGTGGAGTCCAGGAAGTCAGTTTGTAGTAATTCGGACCATGTTTGATCGGGTTGCGTTTTACTACCGTCCTTTGTTTTGCCTGTTAGCAGTTATTCGATTGACCTTGTCATATGGTCAATACGTCTGTATTCAGAAGGCTGTGTATTTTGATTTAACTTGATAAAAACATCAACGACGGCATAGTGTGATCTATAGCAACGGTAATGGCATATATCATACGAGTAGGTACTCATGATTGAAAATGGGTTCATGGTTTATTTTTTAGCCTGTTAGCACATGACGATTATTTCCCTTTGGGATCGACCATGAACTTTGTGATATTGTGAGACCGTTGTGGATATCTATTAAAGATTCATCAATTATCGTTGTGTTCATTGACTCTCATAGAAAAGAGGTGTTTTCGCTTAGCAGTATAAAACATGGCTTTGTGGCAATTATTCATTGAGTATAATATCTAATGGACTGTCAAACTAAAATGAGCTGTACCTATAACTTTGAAAGCAAAATAATGCATTTTCCCATTTGAGATGTGATTTATGAAACACTGCTCCTGACTTGCGGGTTTTAATCATATTTGAAATGGTTTGGTGACTCATACAGCTCCCTCGTGTCTCACAAACTTTTCATGATGATCTGGTGTTGTTTTACCCGACTGCCTGTGGCTTCCAGATCCGGGATGCTCTTTGCTCACTCCAGTCCCCTCGAACATCAGTTTTCCGTGTTTTAGAATGTCACCTGTCTCGCTTCTGACGGTGCCTTTTGTCATTACCCACTACGTCCTTCCGGTCACAAAAATATAACTTCATCTCCTCAGCTGCAGCTTTGTCACAGCGTACGCCACGGTATTCTCTCGTTGCGTCTTGTGTTCTCTGGTATCCCCTTATGTTTGATATTCTACCCCCCCCCCCCCCTCTCCATGACATATCACGGCGCTTTTAGTTCTATGATGCTCTCCCCCAACCTTTGATATTCTATATACGGCCATCATGCACTGAGTCCCCATCAAACCGTGCATTACCGCCACACTCGCCGAGCGTTGCTGCTCTCCGCTGCTGTGGTGTATTGTCAGGAACCTGCATGGCGCCTGCCGAGCGTTTGTCCCTCCTCCGCTGTCCATACATAGAGACGAGCTATGTATCTCTCGCTGACTGACCGACGTTCTCCGAACGGCGGTTGCCGTCAGACGCTCATCTCTCTCCAGATCAGTCTATCCTCGCGCTGACCGATTTTTGGTGGCTGTTCCACGTGGCGGTCGATTTTTGACCGCCGGGGCAGCGGTGCGGGATCTGCAGCCAGGGCCGTGGCGCTCCTCCACTCCCGAAGTCCCGAGCCTCGCCGACCCTCTGCTGAGTCCCGCTCCCGTAGTCTCGCGCCTCGCCGACCCTCTGCTCAGAAGACGGACTTTGGTCGCGCAGGCCCGCTGGCAGTAATGCCACGAGATTGTCATGCATTTTGCACGGCTAATGCGGAGAAAATCTCACCGCTGCTGGGTGACAGAGGCGGTCGGTCGTCATGAGACGGCGCCGCCCCTGACATTGGAGGTCACACCTTCGTGGTGGCGTATTTTACGCTGCTTTGTGAGGATAAGATCATACTTCCCAGTGGAGATGAAAAAGCGCATGGAAAAGTCCTGAGCGACCACACTGGGCGCTGGTGAGATGCAAACTTTGGTGGCTGATTAGCGCGTCGATTTTTGGTAACGGTGTCGTACTAGTGTAACTTTTCCAGGAACAGGTTTTGGGCTTGTCATAGGCGTTCTAATGTCTTCCTTAGACGATTAATACGGTCGTTGAGTGATATAAACGCTCAGGTGGTGATGTTCGGCTTTCTTGTAGTCCATCCTTTACCAATCATCGCCCTCTCTTATCCAGCGCCCGCCGTTTGTACTCTGTTTACCCATGGCACGAGTAGAACACGAGTTCAGTGCACTACATACAGCACATTCTTTGTTGTGAGTTCCCAGGCACGTGTTTAGCACAGTGTCAACAAATCCGTCCGACTGGGTAATCGGTGGTGTCGTGACCTGCTGTTCAGTGATCCGTTGTCGCATGCCGATGACCCGAAAACAGCTGTCGGTGACCCGAAAACAGCTGTCGGTGACCTGAAAACAGCTGTCGGTGACCTGTCGCCAGTTGTCAGTGATTGCTGTAAGTTGTCGGTATAGGTTTGTGACCCAATAACAGTTGTTTCCTTGTGGTTCACCATTTGTGATTGTTCCCGTTAATTCGCCTTGTTGGTGTAGAAGGGTGTCTGCTCTTCGGTCCTTCAGCTTTGGTGATGAACTAACAGAACAGGATATCATTGGATATATTTTAAGCCCCATAAAGAGTTTTAACGCTTCATGTTTGATATTTGGCCTTGTATGCACGCTGACATCGGTAACATTTTAATGAGTCACCGCCGGCGACGTGCACCCGGACAGCTGCTTGTATGCGGTGTAAAGATATGTTCACGGCTCTTCGCTGTCAGACTGTGCTTTTTCAGATCAGCAAGCTGCTGACAAACCAAGCCTTGACCTTATTTGTACTTACATATATACTAAGGTTTTCGGTACAATATCCTGCCTATGGAAATGTCGCGTAGTCTACATCGCATAGTGAATAGTCTACGAATAGCTTTATATTTATTTGCGTTGAGAATGTAAAGCTTCTGGCTGCTGCGATTTAGGGCAACGTTTTTTTTCCATGACATCCCCAATACGACAGGGCAAGGATTATATCCGTTGAGGTGACAATTCTTTGGCCGTTTTGTTCCATGGTGCTTCTCCAGATCTTGCGAAACGGTTGAATGTTTCTTTGGGCTGGATTTTCTGAACCTTATCCCCCTTCTTGGTAGGATCTGTTGATGTCGAAACTTTGTAGCTGACACCGAGATCGAATGTTCATGGAGACTTGCCGTTTGATCACGCGAAGGATAAGATCTGGGAGCTAAGAATTTTGAAGTAAATGTGGTGTGGCAGTGTGCTTGTTGATAACTACTGTTACCTACAGACAATATCATTTACTTTTGGCGTCTTATTTTATCAAAAACTAGTTGTCGGTTCGTCGTGGGTGCTTGATTATTTCCGAGGATTTTATTCGCTGCAAGTTCTGCCGGCTGGGTTCCTTCGTTCCCGTAATTCCAGTGACGC